ACACACACACACACACACACACAAATATACACAATAAAGACAGCTTACATGATTACCTTTGTACCATGGTTCATTCCTAGGAAAGAACAGTATACTACAATTTCCCCCTACAACAAAATATATAGCTAAGTGGAGAGATGTGTTCCTACAAGGGAAAGGTCTATATTATACAATTAAGAATGTTCTCCAAATTTATACATAACTTTTATGGGAATCTAGTCTAAAGCCTATCAGCAGGGCTATTCATCTGGAAGAACGATACAAGAATTGTTGACATTTGGGAGAGGAGACAGGAGCTTCCTGTGAATATAAAATACACTCAAAGTCTGTAATAAACCTAGTATAAATAAAAAATTAATATATCACAAGGAAACATTAACACTTCATGTAGGGAAGAATGGCCAATTTCAACAAATGTTATAGACACAGACAACCATTCGGGGGGCTCCTACTTTCGTTTCTGGGAACTCTGGTGGTGGCCTTACTCTGTAGCGAGTTAACCCAAAGGTCACTTGTTTCTGGTAGCTAAAATCCAACAGCAGCTCCTTGGAAAAAGCCGGTCAGTCTCCTCCCACTTAGATTTATAGCCTCAGAAATCTGATGGAGGGTCACTAAGAGTCAGAACCAACTCAAGTTTAAGTACAATTTTAGTCATGTTGCTGTTGTTGAGTACTGTCAAGTTACAATCAACCCATGGATGACCCTCCAGCAGATTTTCAGAAACAGTTAATTGCACAGGAGACTGCCCATCCTTCTCCTGTGGATTAAAAAAGCATGCATTTGGGATTGCAGCGCAGGTTCTTACCACTAGACACCAGAACTCCCTAATTTTAGTCATACTGCATAGTAAATAAAATGCAATACATACAATGGAATAATACTCAGAAGAAGCCTTGATATATGCTATAGAATGGCTAGATCTTAAAGATATTATGCCAAGCAAAATAAACCAATCACAAAAGGACAAATCTTGTATAACTTAATTCACAGGGGTACTGGAGAAAAGTGTTGAACATTCCACAGACTGCAAAGGGAACAAACAGGTTTGTTTTAGAGAGGGTGAGACCAAGCTGCTCCTTAAGAGGCAAGGATTTTGACACTCCCTCTGAGATACTTTTTGGGCATGTTGCCAGGTGGGACCAGTCCTTGGAAAAGGACATTATGCTTGCGAGGGTGGAGGGACAGCATGGGAAAGGAAGACCCTAGATGAGATGGATTAACAGTGACTGAAATGATGTCGGAAACAGTGAGATTGGCTAAGGATAGGGCAAGATTTAGAGCTATTGTACAATGGGTCCCTATGAGTCACAGGTGACTTGACAACACATAACAATAATTCATTTAAGAAGAGAAGGCAAACGTATAGGGATCAAAATTTATTAAAGGTTACCAGTAATAATGTGCAAAGAGCAGGAGCCAGAAAATCAAAAGGGATGAACTCGTTTGGCATTTTTTAAGCTGAAGGAACTGAAGAACAAATTCAAAACTCAAGTTGCAATATTTAAAAATGCAGGATACTGAATGATCCAGAAAGCATCAAAAGAACATAAAAAGAACAAAGTCACTGTCCCAAAAAGAATTGGGTGACAAAAGACATTTTCATGATATAGTATATGATTAAGAAGCACTGGTATTAAAAGAAGTTCAAGCTATGAAGGAACTGGCAAAAAATAAGGCCCCAGAAGTGAGGGAATAAACAGATATTTCAATAAACAGGTGCAACCCTGGACATGCTCACTAGGTTGTACCAAGAATCTGGAGGACATGGCCAACTGGAAGGGACCTATATTTATTCCCATTCCCAATAAACATGTTCCAACAGAATGTGGATATTATTGAACAATTTCACTAATATCATATGCAAGCAAAATCTTGAATATTTCCCCAAAACAACTAGAACAGTACATTGACAGAGAACTACCACAAATACAAGCTGGGTTTAGAAGAGATTATGGCACTAGGGATATCACAGCAAGTATCAGACGGATTTTGGCTGAAAGCAAAGTACTACAAGAATGTCAATCTGTGTTTCATTGACCATGCAAAGGTAATTGATTGTGTGAATAACAAATTGTGGTTAACATTGAGAAGAATGGAATCTCAGAACATTGATTTGTACTCATGCGAAAACTATACTTAGTCCAGTCCAGGAAGTAGTTGTGTGTGGACTTTTTGAAGAAGAATGTGGTAGGCATCAGGACCGAAAGAAGACTCACTGACAACCAGTATTACACAGATGACACAACCTTGTTCACATAAACTGAGGACTAGAGTCTTGGGATGCAAAAGGGCAAAGACTGTAGTATTCCATAGATTGAAGCTCAACATTAAGAAAATATAAATTCTCTGCACATCCATATTTACTGCGGCTTTGTTCACACAGCAAGGAGTTGGAAACAACTTAAGTGCCCATCAACAAACGAGTGGATAGAGCAGTGTGGTATATTCACACAATGGAATACTATGCTCCATTGAAAAACAAGGAACTCAGGCAGTATTATTCAAAATGGGTGACCCTGAAGGACATTATACGAGTGAAGTATCTCAGTCACAAAAGGACAAATACTGCACGGTGTCACTGTTGTAAAACAGGACTGACCTTGGCACTAAGGGGGAGACTGAGAAAGATGGGATAAATAATGTATAATGCACTGGAACAGATGAGGGAGAAAACTGTTAAAAAGAGATATGTGATTAAGTATTATTGTCATGACAGGAGTCCAAAATGAAGGCTGCATAGTGGAGTGGACCTGGGGGGAGGGATTGTAAAACTATGAAAAGAATTTTTCTTTTACTTTTCAAAGAGAAGAGTGTACTGGGGGCTGGTGGGGGGCAGGGAGAAAACTGCAGCAAGGAATGAATGAATAACCAAAGTATCTGTAAATTTTCATTAAAATTAATAATAATAAAAAAAAATATAAATTCTCACTACTGGGCCTAGTGACAGCATCATAATAGATGGAGAAAGGACTGAGGTTGTTAATAATTTCATCTTTCTCAGAGCTACAATCAATATTCTTGGCACCAACCGTCAGGAAATCAAAAGACGAGTTGCTTTAGGAAAGTTTGCTGTGAGATATCTCACCAGAATGCTAAAGAGCATTGATGTCAGTCTATAGGCTAAGGTGTCCAATTTCAATTGCTTGTAATACATCTAAGAGCTAGACAATGAATAAGGGTGACGGAAGAAAAATTAATGCCTTGAGTTGTGGTGCTGGAGTAGAGTATTTAGCATACCATGGACTACCAAGAGAATAAGCAGGCCTGTCCTAGAGAGGGTGGAACCAGGTTGCTTGGTGGAGGAAAGGATTTTGAAGTGCCATTCCATTTGGAATGTTTGTATTTGGGCATGTTGCCAGGACAGACAAGTCTTTGGAAAAGGCAACATGCTTAGAAGGGTAGAGGATCAGTGTGGAAGGTACTAAACGAGATGAACTGACATAGTCACTGCTGCAATGGGGGCAGGTACGTCAAAGACAGTTGAGAATGGCTCAGGAGAAGACAGCGTTCAAAGCTATTCTTCATAGGGTCACTAGAAGTCATAGTCAACTTGCTGGCACGCAGCAACACCACTGGCACCAGGCACTAGTAAATTACTGGGCGAGCAGGAGAGAATGAGAAAAGTGGGATTAATGGTTATGGATATAACACATTAATGGTAGGGTTGCATAGGTGACTATTCTAACTGCTGTCAGTAAGTTGTACAACTATAAGTAGTTTAATTGGCAAGTTGTGTGACAGGTCAATTTATAATAACGAAAACAACAAGAGCAGTTGTTGAAGGGGTTATATAGAACCAAACAACTCCCATTGATTGTGGTGGTTTAGGGTTTCAAGGGCCATTTCAGTTAATTGAACTTTGCCTAAGAATGTATCAGTGTTTCTGTTTACCTCCTAGTTAGTTGCTTAAGTCTTAAAATCTTGCAAGCGTCAACCAAAGGCACAAATGGGTTTCTAGTCACCTGGAGCAATGGAGGAAAGTCAATCAGTAGCAGGAAGATATGGAACCCCCCCACCCCCACCGCTGCAGAGTAGATTCTAACTCAGTGACCCTCTAAATGGGTTTCTGAGGCTGTAAATCTTCATGAGAGGAGACTGTCAAAAGCAGAGCACCTGCGGGATTAAAACTGCTGACTAACATGCAATGCACACATGTGTGGCGGCCACCTGCCTCCTGTGCTAATAGGCCAGAATTAGAGGATGCCTGGCAAACACTGCAGAATACTTTAATCAAAGACTCCACAGAATTGTGATCAAAGGGAGGGATGCAAGCAGAGCAGAATTCAAATTCTCATGGACTACAGATTTTCTGGAACCATGGCGAACAGATCAAACTATTGCCTCAAGATAACCTCTGGGCCTTAGAAAAAAATTTTCCCTAAAGTCTTACAACCAAATGATAATAAAACTGTCTACTTTCTGCATTATGTTCTTTAAAAAATTATCATACAAGACTGTTCAAAGTGAAGCAGAAAACTTAGTTTATGTTAATGAGGAAGGAAAAATAGAGCGCGAATGTTTGTATAATGTGAAGAATATAATGTCACTAAGGTATTCCTGCAGAAACTAGCTGTGCATGTTCTCAACAACAAAGTAAAATTTAAAAGGGGAAAAAATAGAC